TACGTTTTCCTTTTTAAAATCCACTAGATATGGGTAGCTAAAATACTTAAGTCTCTACACATGCAGATTTTATCCAATTTCTACCTCTCCACAATAATATATGATGAAAATTTTGGTAAAAGAAACCCTTTTTTGTGATGTTATGTTTTTCTGAGATCTCAGGGTTTTCTTCTGATTTCCAAGAGTCAAGGAGCAAAAAGCTCTAATAGCAATAATATGAACTTAATTCCCATTGGGAATCTCAGAGAAGAAAAGATCAGTAAGTTGTCATGTTATTTGAACACAACTAAACAACTTGGCTAATTTAAAGTATTTATTCAGCCTAGAGAGGGTGAATAGTATAGGAGGTCCCTTTATGTGTCCATGCTGTATTCCATTCATTCTTGTACCACCTTGTCACCTAACTTCATCTGCATCTCCTCCCTTTTTGAGAGCCAGCGGGTAGAAGTACAAATATGAAAAGTCCTCTTTCATATGTAGAGCTATCTATGTAGATACCTAAAAATTGAGTAATTATTGCTGAGAAAATTAAATAGTTGTTTTACAAGAGAAATTATGTAACTTTAATTGCCATGTAATAATTTTATTAATGCAAATAATTTAAGTATCTATATGTTTAATGTCATGTTTTTCTAAAAGATACATATAAATTTAAAAGGCTAGTAACTATAACCATGGAAACTATACTGAAATTCTATTACTAAGAGGTGGGATTCTAATTCTGCCCTAGAATTCTTTCATTGGAAAGCAATGGTCAAATTATTACTAAGCATAAATAAATGTTATGGAATAAGTGAAAGCACATCTCTAGGAACATTAATACATTTAAAACTAAAATTCTACAAAATGGTTAATTTCTTCTGCACTTTGGAGAAAAGAAACTATGAGCAAAATCTACAGGATTCCCAGGTCCACAAGCTTCCTAGATTGCTTCAACTTCAAGCCCTTTAGAGAATTTTGGGGGCATTTGTCATTTATGTAAGAAAGTCAATGACCAAATCTTTGAGAAGCCAAATATATCATATAATTTTTTCCAAAGGCAGTAACTTATTACTTTACCCTCTCAGAGTCAATTGTGTAATTCAGAATATAAAAGAGAAATGCCTAAATTAGGGATTTCATAGAATAGTTTATCTATGCAGTCAGTAAAACAATCAGTCAAGATGTACTTTGTCACATGAGAGATGTAATTATTTAGTGTAAAAAAAGTCTACAGAAGAGATGGCATTTTGTTTAAACATATATGTGCACAGAAAAGGATATCAAAATATTTATAGAGGTTATTTTTTCATGTACCAGAACAGCTGAGTGACTGCTACTTTCTTTGTATGTGTATGTCTAAATGTGTTTGAGTATGTAAATTATAGCATAATTATAAAAAGGGAATCATCATAAAAAAAAAATACTACCTACTCCAAGCCTTCAGAAGATTCTCTTCTAAATAACTCTACTGCTATTTCTGATGGCAGAGGTTCCAAAAGACAAAGCTATGTCACTGAACATGTTTGTGAAATTCCTAGTGGATGTTCTCCCAGCATGTTTTATTTTTTACCACACATATGAAACCACATCAGGTATTTGAGGTTATTTTAACTAGTATGTTAAGGAAGTATTTAAGAAAAAAAACCTGATTTTCTTAGATGACCTTACTAGTATTTCTCTTTTTAAAAATGCTTTGAAAATATGTGGCCCATGGAGCTGTTCTTTGTGACCTCAAAGGCCTGGAATGGACCTTGTTTTGTACCCACATGATCATGATTTTTTAAATAAAATGTGTAAATGTAAAAAAAAAGAAAGAAAAAAAAGCTTTGAAAATCTGAGCATTTTTTTTATATTCAGAGGTAAACTGGCATAATAAAATGTTGACCTGATAATCCTATGCATGAAATCAGCCTCAAAGTTTAGTGTTCAAAATGGGTTTTCATGACTTTAATTCCATTCTGCTTTATTCTTTTAACTTACTCTAAAGATAAAGTATTTGATGTTTACTCTGAATATTTTACAAAAGCCTTCTTATTAGAGGGTAGGGAAAGAGAGATTAAAAAGGTTAGTTAGAATGAGATAGCTCAGTTTATAAAACTGTTACTCATACTGTAAATTACTGGCATGGTCATTGGGGCCAAGAAAACCTAATAAACAACATAGACAAAAATCACACTAACTTTCCTTACTATTCCCAGTTAACTCCATATTCATCAATGAACAATGGTCTAGCAGCTTAATTCAATTTAAGTATTTATTGAGAATTATTTTAGTGCCTTTGGATATTAAAGCATAACAATAGAAGAAAGTCCCTGCTCAGAAAGTTTGCATATAATGAGGCAAGTCTACCACATGTAAAATCCATGAAGTTTGCTGTATGGTTGTTCATTGTTTGATAAACTCAAATTCAGAGAGAACAGTATCTGTTTTACTGGGGGGCTCAGCTGCTCCCAGATACTCCAGAGAAATCCCCATGAGGTTTTCAAGGGAGAAAATTAAAAGAGAGCAGAAAATAACAGATTATCATGGATCCCCTAGTTACAATAAAGACTAAAGGAACATGACTATTATTTCAAAAAAAATGAGAACTGAATTGAGCACCTATGAGACCAGCTTTCATGGAACATTCAAATCTATTCTTGAAGACCTGATTAACAATAATGACAATAGCCATTTAAAATATTAAGTATCTTCACAACATTTAACTTTGAAAGCTAACCTACACAACTTCTCTTTTCTGATTTACAACTTGGGAAAACTGGAACAGATACATTAGAATTAGTTACTAATTTTTATTTCAAAGAAACACTATATTCAATATTTAAGAAACAGATATATTAAACACACACAAAACCCCTACAATGTCTACTAACCTTCATGTAGTAAGATTTAGAGCTATATCACGTGAGCATACACACACACACACCCCCCCAACCAACAACACAATATCTATTAACTTCAATAAAATGCACAACTTCAGGTCACCAAATGAGTGGTAAAACTTTATCAGTCCTGGGCATCATGCTTAAGATTTAAGAAGGACCAAGAAGCTAGATATTCCAAAGTGTCTGGGGTACTAATTTCATTATCTCGTATCACCTTCAAAACATCTATAGACAGTGATCTTGGATACAGTTGGGTGATGACTACATTCCTTATGTTTAAATGCAAGATGACAAGATGGCACACAAAAGAAAAGAAAAAAAGTGTTTTGTTCTAGAGATGGCCTACTACTACAAACTGATCATGGACTACCTTGCAACAAATACACTCTAATGAAAACAAAGTCTTAAACCATTAATAACAAACTGACAGTTTCTGCTAAAATCTATTAAATAACACAAACCAATACTGGAAGAAAATTGAGTTATAAAGACTGATAGAAAGTGGTGGAAGAAGCTCTAAACACAAAGATGTGATGGCAAACATGAGATATGGATTTACCACAGATGTCTACTTGGCCTCCTGAGCAATTTCATTTGTATCATGTATGAATTAAAATTAATGACAAAAAGAATAAATCATCACAAACTTTTAAGCTATAATCAGGAGAGAAATGATGCAATTCTATAAGCTAAACATGTATGACAAATAGAGTAGCAGTATGCTCAGAGAATGGTTAAGTATGGGGAGCTCAAGTACCTCAAATGAAAGCCTGGGGACAGAAGAAATGTTGAGCATCAGAGAACTACGGCCCAGTCTCTGTTTGTATAGGGCCCGTGAACTAAGAATTGACATTACAAAAAATCATTGCAATCAGTTTGATGATAGGGAACATTAACTTTGAACCCCAGTTAAGAGAAATGTTAGAGATCCATAAAAGAACTCTATTCTTCTAATTAGTAGACTTGTATTACAAAAAAATTATACTCAATTACTATTATTTTGAATTTCATCAATGAAAATTTTATGGAAATCTGTTTTCTCTTTTGTTATGTATCTCTATGGTATCCTTGATTTGTGTTTTATCCCCAAAAGCCTAAAATATTTTATCTGACCCTTTACAGAAAAAGTTACCAACTTCTGTATCAGAATATTAATATGAATAATAGGGAATATTTAAACTTTCAGGAAACAAAGAGATCCAACTATCTGAACTTAGATTTGAGAGCAGTGGGAAGCAGGAAGTAAGTAAGTCTGTTTAACAAAGGTTAAAGGTTCACTTTAAAACTAAAAGATGATTACCAAAAAAAGATTACAAATACCATAGTGGTCTCAGGTGCAAATCCTTAGAAATTACATGGAGAGTAAAGAAGATTCTTGACCACACAGTAGTCTTTTCAACCATCCTTATACACACTGATATCTAGCAAAATCACCTTACCAAAAGTAACATTTTTATAGAATGAAGTATAAGGATTTAAAAATAACTTAATCATACTCCTGTATGATCTTCTTTAAGATCTCAAATATTAAAAATTTTTAGAAATTACATTTGAAAGAAAATGTCAGTCCTGTTCTTTAGAGACGATATTAATTTTTCAAGATAATATTTTGAATCTGGTGTTGTTAATAAAGGTGTTGACAGACCTAGTCAACAAAATAATGTTAAACCCTAAAGTCAAAATTCTGCTGCTATCAGTGGTCTACTCATACATGTAGACATTCATTCTTTCATTTTATAAATATTTACATATTGAATAAATACAAGCATCTCCGATGTGCTCAGCAGAGCATTAGAGAGCACATGGTGAGCAAAAACTGATATAACTTGTGCCTTTACTCAGTTTATATACATTTTAGTAACCATGTAACTTTTAAGTACTTTAAGTAACAGACATACCTGTTTTGCATCAGATAGCCAAAATAGCTTTTCCAGGATCATAAAACAGAAGAATAGCTCAATAAGTAGCCAAAAGGCTATGTTCTTATACTTCCTCTATAACTGAACTAGCTATGTGACCTTGGATCACTTTCTGAATTTTAAAATTCATTCATGGATGTGTGTGTGTGATATGGATTCTTAGAATAGCAACAAAATTCCTTCCAGTTCAAAAATTCCGATTCAACCTTCTCACCTTGATTATTTCCACCAACTGATCTACACCACTGTCCCCTGGAAATATTGGTTGCCCTAGCAACAGTTCAGCCAACACACAGCCTGCAGACCATACATCTGAAAAGAAAACAAAGCTTATTAATACTTTGTAGCTTAAGGTGCATTGGCAAACATACGTAAAAATATTTTAATTTTACTCTGATCACAAAATACCACAAGCGAAAGTTTATACTATCCAGAACAGATGAAAAAAAGTCATCAAACTATCCCTAGTGAATTTGTAAATTACATGTTAAATTACTAAAGAGGAAACAGCCAATAAGAACTCCAATAAAGTAAAGTCTATTTAATTATTAGGTACCAGGCATTCAAGTCTTCAGCAACCAAGATGGGATTACAGCACCAAAACACAGAGCACTATTTTCTACTTAAAAATAAGTCAAAGTGACACCAACACCACATATTAGCAGGTATGCTTAGAGTTGCAGCAAGCAAGAGTTCAATATCCTGTACACAGGGTTTTTAGGCCAGTGCAAATTCTGAGAAAAATTTGTAATATGATTGACAGAAAAATGTACTTGAATATACTATCAGTTTTAAATGACAAGATAAAGAAATATGTTTTATTTCACAAATTACAAAATAATTTATTTTTAAGTCAAAGTGGAAACCTCAATTCTGAAAGGACACACTTAAAAATAACTTAATTAACAAATTTTAATAATTTACAGATAAAGTAAAAAAAATTTTTAATTTAAAGCATACATGCTGATTTACCCAAGATAATATTGGTTCAGATCTATTGTCCTGGGATAATTACTAATAGCATCCCCTTTGTCTTTTAAAAGTATTACCAAATGGAAGAATAAATTATATGGTCACTTTATTTATAGCCCACCATTAAGACTTCTGCAAGGAATACTAATTTTCAGTTTCTGGATAGCTGAGATGCCTGGGTTGTATGAACCGACACCATGTGCTTTAGGGAAATGAACATAAATCATTGCTGGGCTTTCCCATCTACTAGAAGGGAAGAATAATAATAAATGGCATGCAGACAATATATAAGAGGTCTCTCATGAGGTAAAATGCACTATCAGTAGGGATTGGGAATCCCTGCTCCAATGACTACTTTTTATTGACCTAGAAAAATGACAAAAAAACTTTAAGAAATTCAAAATGATTCTGTACAGTTTCAAGCTATGATAACCAAAACACCTATTTTGCAAACACAGACTAAAAGAGCCCTCTTTGATATATTAGGTAATTGCTAAATGAAGCAACCATGAAAATCTGCTAGGAAATCTTTACTTCATTTGATGTCAATAGTAATACTAACTCTTAAAGTCAAGTGGAAAAGATGTATCTCCTTATTATGTACATGTTGTATTTTGATCTGTTTAAAGATACCCCTTTACCTAGCTAATTAGATGGAAGGTAATATGCACCACTTCTTTCCTCTACAATGCATAATAATTCACCTCTGAAGACAAACCTGGAAAAATTGCAGGGGAATTATTTCACTTTCATAAAAAAACCATGGGAAACACTTTTATAGGCAGGATTCAGCTACAAATATGGGAGACAAGGAGCAAAAACATTAAGGGATACTATTGCTTAGTGATTCCCAAAGAGGATTAATAATCAAAAGATTCAGGTGGCAACTACACTAGTGGTTTTAAATTCATGTTAACTCAGGCAAATTACTAAAACCAAGATATTTATCATTTACTTGCAAGGAGATACCAAAATCTCTTTGTTATTACTTCACAGGACAAATGGGTCATATTCTACAGACAGAATAAAACAGAGCTAAACAGAAGGCACCCAAAAAAAAGAGTGCTTGGGTGCACTGAAGTTTCTGGTTATTTGGGATTTAAGCCAACATAATGCAGTTGCCCCTTGAACAACATGGGTTTGAACTGCCCAGGTCCACTTATACCTGGATAGTTTTCAATAAATATTATTGGAAAATTTTTGGAGCTTTGTGACAATCTGAAAAGACATTTCTTTTCTCTAGCTTTACTTTATTGTAAAAATATAATATATAATACATATGAGATATAACATGTTAATCAACTGTTATTGGCAAGGCTTTTGGTCAAGTAGGCTCTTAGAAATTAATTTTTTGGGAAGTCAAAAGTTATATATGGATTTTTAGCTATGAAGAGGGTGAGCACCCCTAACCCCTGAGTTACTCAAGGGTCAACTGTATTTTGCTTTATACTTAACTGTAATTACTGGTAAAAGCAATCTTTCAAGACCATCTACTTTAATATACTTACTTTACAGAAAAGGAAATTAAGGCATAATATAATAAAGTTCAATGATTTGTCCAAGATAAAGCACCTGAATAGCAGAGCTAGATCACTTTCAATTCCCAATCAAGACACTGCTGTCTTGCAAAACTGCCTCACTGTCACAGAATAACTATTTCTTCAAGGGTAAGCTTACTCAATTCCTTGTCTTAAAGAAGCCATTTGTTCTCTCTCTTCCATTTCTCAGTAAGACAACAGAATCAGTCATTAGCCTTAGCCTGGTTATCTCCAAATATGACAATAATTGAATGAGAACTAACTACTCTTTCACTTTAATCCATTGTCAAATATTTTTCTGAAGTGCACCTGCATTAGCATACTTCTAAATACCTTTGTTTTTGTGTTACAATCCTCCAGAGTCTTAAGACTCAAGTAACATAAGTCTAAAAAGGGAGGACAAACCTAGACTTGTTAGTCTTCAAAAGACTCCAGTCAAATTAGTGGCATACAGTGAGTTCTAAGCCTAGAGAGTCAGAAACTGGTTTTAGTTATGTAAAAACCAGGCTATTGGAAAGCAGGTACTAATACCTAGAGAATTGGTTCCTGCTAGAGAAAACAGACTATACCACCTGCCCTTCTTTTGTAAGAAGATTCCAAAGAACTGCTAAGCGCATGGACATTTACAGAAGTAAATTAGTATTATCAGAGCCTAGGCCCCTTGGACTTTTCCAGAGGTCATGAAGGGCAGTTATTTTCATAGGAATACTGAGATATTTTCTGCCTGTGGCATTGGTTGACATTTACACTTATGGTGCAAAAGAAATGGTGAGTAGAATTGTTAGCCCCTGGATACAAATCAAATGCTCTTTGAAATTCTGCCCTTCAGCAAAATAAAATTGATAATGTGTTTCTGTTTAGAGGTCTTTCTGCATATCAGAGAATTTCTACTTGTATCAAAAGACAAAAATTATCCAAGTTCTGATTTTTCTTAGTTTTCAGTTACTGTGGTTTTTAGGGTTGTTTTGTTTTGTCTTTTGCTTGGTATTTATATGCTTTTGTTTATTTGGATTAAGGAATTCTCTTCAGAAACAGTAAATAACAATAATAAAATTTTAACCTCCACCTGCACACCTTGCCTAAGGTTGCCCCTCCTTTCTTAGCTTCCTATTCATGTCCAGCTGATCATATTCTCTAGTTAACTCCTACTGGTGGGCTAAAATGGGGTGGAATAAGAAGAGGTCAATGAACACTGAAGCAAATTGTCTCTATTTAACTCCTCCTATCACTAAAGATCTCTCATGAAGACTTCTACAGAATCAGTGGGTTTAGCCAAAGTACTAATGAAAAAGTCAGAATTTTTTAATGTGACTTAAAATTAAATAACCAATTGAGATAGCATAGTAGGAATGTCAACAATATGGTCATCCTACCACATTTATCATAAACTTAATGGATGCACATTCTCCAACTTGTGATCCAGCTCAGAAGTGATTTTCAGAGGAATTAAAAACAAAAAACGAAAGGAAAAGTATACTTCAGATTTATTTGAAATGTTACAGTAAAAACAAATGTAATCATAAAGGAATCATGCAATCATAAAGGAATAGCTTTATTATTCTCTCCAATTATCCAAGAAACCCAAAAGTAGAATAATAAATATATCTTAAATTCTAAAAGGTGAAATTTTAAAAATTCAACACGGTTTTACCTATCAGTCTTTAAGAAGAAACGTATTTTGGGGCCTATCCATCTTTATATTTAAGTGAAAGTATAGATTAGTAACACTAAATTACTAAAAACATGATACAATTAGTAATTATAAGCCATTATATTTAGATTCAGTACTTACCTATACTAGAGGTATAATCAGTGGCTCCAAAGATCAACTCCGGCGCCCTATAGTACCGAGAACAGATATACGAAACATTGGGTTCTCCTCGGACCAGCTGCTTTGCACTAATAAAAAAATATATAAATAAAAAGCAGGAGTTCTTTAAACTAAACAGAAATATTAAAAGAACCGTAACTGCTATCATTCATAATACTGAATGTTCATCTAGGATTCATGTAATTCTAATCATACAACATGCAAAAAAGAAAATAAGAACCATTTACTATCTCTGAGAAAAGAAACTTGTTATTCTGACATAACAGCAATTTTTAAAGAATGCATTTGTCAACTGTCACCTAAGGAAAAAGAGTTAAGTCACAAAAGGATAAATGCTGAAATTCTTCTGATCCTCTGTTCCCTGAATTCTACCTCTATTCAAATTCAAGGGCAGAAAAGAAGTACTGCCCCCACCAAAAAGCATTAACAGATTGTAAGAATGAATCCTTCTTACCCAATATGATTTCTTTAAAGGATAAGAAATTGGCCGTTTTCTTATAATTTGACTCCTAAGAGTAAGTATCTCAAGGCTTACAGACCCATCTACTTTATTTTTCTATCATCTCGGTCAGTTTATTAACTGTCTAAACATTCATTATTCAATAAAAAAGACAGGCCCTCTCCTTTAGGAGAGAGATGATTCACAGCCTATGAATTCTAACTCTGCTGTTGTGACTTTAATTATATGTTCTCTTATCCAACTTCCCTTCCAAAGACTTTGGGGCATTTACTTTAAACATTAAAGTAAATTGAAATTACTTTCTTTGAGATGTCTCTCAAGATAACTTGGGAGACACACAGAAACTGTTGTAGAGGCTCTTCTGACATAAAATAGCAAAGATTAACACAAAATAAATATAAATAATATCAAAACAGCAAAAAAATAAGGAAAGGAAAGGTTTAAAAAGTTTTGGGCTAAAGGCACAGGAAAATCCGATTAGAGAGAGACAAAAGCGGTCACAGGGTTTCCTAGTTTGGGCTTGCTGTTCTTATATTTACTTCTGGTCAATAGTAACTCTAACCTTAAATCTATTCTTCCTTCATCGTAAGTTTTGCAGAGGAAGAGTTTCTTTTTTAACATTCTCACCAAGTACTGACACACAGCAACTATTCCTAAACTAATAAATATTAATAAGTAATATTAAATGTTTTTAGGCTGCATGAAAATTAAGATACTTTTTTAGCATGAATGACAAAAACTTTCTACTTCATAAGATTTTTTTAACAACACATATTCCAATTATATAGTAAAAAAGTTCAGCGTAAGATAAAGAAAGTAACATTGGAAGTGCCACAGCCTGTAGATTTCTTCACTACCTTCTTCTCTTCAGTGAGGCTTGCTGTAACTTCCCCACACTTTGAGGGTTTACTGCATCAAATTTGTGGTCACTTAAAGTCCTAAGAAAGCCCAACTAGCCTTTCATGTACTACCAGATTCTATGTCATCCAGTAAAGGATTACTAACAAGAGACTAATACTGTTTTGTTCAAGTCACCACAGACCTGGCGCACTAAGAACCTAAATTGTATCCCGAACTCCACTCACCCAAACCAACTGCTAAATACAAACACTAAAAATGGGCTATTACCATATAAGTGAAATCCCTATTCCAAATATATAAGAACAAAGTGATTTCTATGTCCCAAAAGAATGACCCACAGTAACAGTGTTTTGACACTACAATGAGAACAGAAACCCTACCAGATTTAATATCTCGTACTGTTGTTACAGGCCATACCAGTCAGTCGCTCTCAGTGGGAAGACACCCTGTAACAACAGAACTGATCTGATTTGAGCAGTTTGTCCTAAAGTAGTACTGCTTTTTTTCCATCATCAAATAAGAATTTTAATATCCGTCATGATTCCTTGTAATTGAAGGGACAGAGTTCAGCCTATAAAATAATAGGCTATAACTGTGATAAATATCTGGAATTATGAAACTGTAAACAAGAGATGGTCTGAAAGAGGACCTCTTTGTGAGACTTAAGAAGAATAACTCACAACAGAGCAGATATGCTCATTTTTTAAAGACACTCTCTCCAAAGAGAGCCTTGTGGAAAATATGTTCTATATATTAAATTAAAATTTAAACTGTGGGTTGATAAAAAAGTATTACAAAGAGGTAGACAGATATCAGCAAGTGTGGTTCAATATCTAGAAAGAGCTGAGTTGAAAAGAATTTGTAAGGATGAAAGAAACGAGAGAATCCAAGTTATGTGGAGATGTCTTATGGATTAAGAGAAATTACTTGAGGCGATTACACCAGTGAGGAAGTATAAGGTTAACTGCCTGAGGTACATGAGGATATAAGGCCTGGTTTCATGTTGAAAGGTCAGATCAGAGAAGCACAAGATGCTGAATACATGGACACAGAATAGATGAAGTCTTATTACACAACATATTATCAAAGAATGAGTTTAAGAAAACAGAAAGTGCACTGGAATTTGCACACAAGAAGGGAGAATAAAAACTAAATTACAAAGGAAAAGGAAGAAAACACTGCTACTGAAACTCTTACCTAAATTGAGGTTAACTCTGAGGTTAACAAGATCCACAGTAATGTATAGTAATCGATACTTTTTAAAAAATAGTTCTTATTTAGAGAGGAATATATACATAAAATAAAAATTCAAGTATAAAAGTACAATCAATGAAAAGATAAGTTTACCAACTACACTATACTCCTAGTTTCCCTTCCCACCCCTTTAAAAAAACAAAAACAAATGATTTATTTGCAACACAGCCCAGACAGCATCACTTCAGTACAGCACAGGAGTTAGAAAAGGGTCATACTGTAAGCATCAAAGCAGAGTTCCATGCCTCCCAAGATAGAAGCCTCCCTCCCTCAGAGACCCATGCCCAGTACCAAACTGAACAAACAGGCAAGCCCAAGTGGGCTTATCATATGTCATTACAGAAATGAGCCATGCTTCTATGTGTGTATGCACGGCTACACAGAGTGTTTTTAAAACACCAAAGGGACCGTACTATATATATACATAATCTTGGCTTCTTTTAACCTAGTATTTCTTAAAGATCATTCCTTTTCAATTCAGAGAGCTACACCTCATTCTTTATCATGGCTGCATACACTGTATGCATGATACCTTTATTTATCAGGTCATTATCCTACTGAGACATTCAGAAACAATGCTGAGATAAAAATCCCTGCATATATACCATTTTGTAAATGTATGAGTATTTCTAAAATAATAATTCCTAGGAGTTAAGAGACTATACACTTATAATTCTGACAGACTATACAAAAACTACTCTCACGAGAAACTATAGCAGTTTATACTCCCTGAATAAGGACTGAGTATTTTTAGGCTGACACTGTAAAAGGAATATATTGAAAAAGAGTATATGGGGTGCTAGAGTGGGGTGGGACGGGGCAAGGAAGGGAGAAGAAAACAGAACCTGCTTACCTTCCAAAGTCACAGAGTTTTAAGACCGCTGTATCGGGATCCAACAAGAGGTTCTGTGGTTTAATATCCCGATGGCAGATTCCAAAGGAATGGATATAGGCTAAACTTCGAAACAGCTGATACATATACAACTGGAATAAATAATAAAAATTAACAGAATACTTTCTAACCCTCACAGATCAGGATCCTAAGCAATAAAGTAACAGGTTTTCAGAACAGAACAACCGAAATGCTGGGGACAGTTAGCACTCAATTGTCCTTTAATAAGTTTCATGTCATTTTTATATTAATCATCTAATTAAAGTTTCATTAACCATGTTATATTATTCACACCAACCTTTAACAACTTAAAAAAGTGAATTTTACAATGTGCCTTGTAATTTACTCTACTAACATCTCACCACAAGCCTGTTAAAATGGACTTTTTTTAGACAGATAAAAAAGTCAGAAAGATATTCCAAATCATGTGACTACTAAGTAATAATGTTCAGACCAGAAACCAAGTCTTCTGTTTTTTAAGTTCATCAATCTTTAAAAGTACTTACAGTTTCATCTTTGGAATAATATTCTTCTAAGATGCCACCCCAGAAGTTATAGATACAGAGGTATGGGAAAACTCATGTGGGAAAATATTAGTAACCCTGTTAATAGTATCACCACTATTTCTGTTAATATCCTTCAGAAATAAGGAGACTTTAATATTCCATTTAAAAACAGATCCTAGCTGAATACCGAAATCAACTTAAAAGAATATTTATTTCAATTTTATTACAAAAAAAGATACAATGAGAAACTAGATGTGCATAGAAGAAAGAATTAGATTCTTGACTAGGGACAAGAGGGACTTTAAGAAGAAAGTGAGTACACCGTAAACCTTCCATTTATCCTAACTGAATATATTGTAAACCTTCTGTTAATACCAAGGTCAGTGTTTCAATTTTTCTTACTACTCGCCTTCTGACCTCTACCCCAAAGTCATATACCACGGAAAGAATTTTTGTAATGATTCAAACCAAAGATACCAATGTCTTCATAAACAACAAAAAAGGCAGTTAAAGGTCAGATAAAGCCTTAACATAAAGCACCATCTTTAGAGGCTACTGCCAAGACTTAGTTAAGTAAGATTAACATGAGAACTACTTTCCTTCAAACAGGCATGATGAAACCTGCAGACAGTTCAATTTTAGTACATCCTTAATGTTACATTAAGTAAAGCTGGAAAAGTTTAAGCCTTTTAAAAAAATGAATTGTGATGTAAAAATATATAGGTAAGACCTTCAATAAGGTCATCATTTTGCCACCAAAGTCAGAATTTAGGAATTTAGGTATCCATATAACTTTTCAAAGCTTCAAAATTCTATTACTGTATCATATTCATAGAATCAATCTCCAAGTCCTAAAGTTTACTCTCAGAATTCTAATAGTTTAATTCACTACCACTATGAAAATGAACTCCCACAAGAAAACTGAATTTTTGGCATTAATTTACTAAAGGAGAGATTTTTCTAAGTGTGTCAGGGCACTAATGTCTAGGTAAGTAAGAATCAGCAGCAAAAAACTGTTCTTTATAAAAAATGCCTAAGAGTTTAAATGAGGTTAAAGTGTCTTTTTACTGTATTCATTCATCTGTTCTGTCTCTTGAAAGTCAAGGTAAAGAAAGAAATAAGCAATTTTATATCTCTTTTCTTGTTATCTAACTCTATAAAAGTATATATAGAAAAACTGAGAGGCTTTCTACACTAGAAAGATAGCAATAACAAGAAAAACAATTTATGTGCCAAGCACTATTCTAAGTCTGTTACATGTACTATTTGGGTACTCCTATTATTTCTATTTTACCTCTAAAGTAACTGAGGCACTTTGTCCAGTATCACATACTTAATATTCTTTAGGGTAAGTACACCTTTTTTAAGCACTATTTCTTTATTTTGCCACATTTTTAAAGTATAAAAATGTAGTCACTAAATAGCTTGATTAAGTAAGACTAGAAAGATAAACTCTTAGAAACTAAGATATTTTAGCATATTTAAAATTCAAGATTGATTAAACATGTACTAATTGTCAAACCAAGTGTGTTTCACTCATCTTTTTAATTCTTGCAATCACTATGTAAGATACATGTTCATCCTCATTTTTATAGGGCAGGGAATTAATAAGGCCCAATAAATAGTTTGAATATAATTTTAACACAGTTAAAAAGTTATCAAATCTAACTCAAGTCCATGTCCTTTCCTCTGTGCTACTGAACCTGTTTAAAACAAATAACAGAATAACAATTCTATTTGTGATTCACAAAAATGCAACCTGGTTGGCTTTCTTGTGTATACAGACCCTGTTACTAAAGTACGTCTTCTCAAACAAAAAAAATTGCATTCACAATGATCTGCTAGGTGTCTGTTTTAGAGTTGTATTTTAAAACTCACTTAGTTATCAGATGCTCATCAGGAAAACCAAAGATGCTTGAAAACTTTTTAACTTGTACATTAATTATCATCAACTATAAAGTGACCAATACTATAAGCGGGTGAAGAAAGGTTCAAAGCAGTACCCAACTACCCTAGAAAAACTGAAAGACAAACAATGATGACAAACTGAAACTGCCTTTTGGGGATGAAAACAAGTCTTTATTAGATGCTAAGGTCCGTAAAGGCAAGAATTACATGTATTTATCACTTTCATTCCTAATCCAAGATTTTTCACAAAATGTTTTATAGAAATAGTGTATAAAACAGTGGACATGAATAAGAGAATGAGATCAACTTTTCAATTCCAAACAATGTTTTAATAGTTTCAGGCCCTTAAATATAAGAATTGATTTGTCTCCTCAAAGAATAATGTTCAGGGCCAATAATTCTGATTCTGGAAGGGCTATGGTTATATATAAGAACCATCCTGTTTTTTCCACAACAGAGGAAAAGGAGCGCTAGGCCTTTCTTTGTATGACAACCTCAATATGCATAATAACCTTATTTTCTTTTTATAATATAGGATGCCAGAGATCTCATCCAAACATATGCTGTCAAAAATACAGAAAGAGATGTGCACATTATTTGTAACAGCAAAAAAACAAGAACAGAAACAAACAACTGAAGTGAAAAACAATTTGTCCATTAGTAGGTGACCAGCTGGCTAAATTAGGATACAGCCATACAACACTAATAGGTAGCTGTAAAAAGGAATGGAAAATAGCTATATGTATCTATCTACCTATATTAATACAGAGTAAACTCTAGAATATATTTTTAATTTAAAAAGCAATATAGGGGAAAATGTATACATTATATAACCATTTATATAAAAAGGAGGTGGAAGATAATATAATTAGATACATTTACTGATTTAAAACAGTAGAATAAACTAAAAGTTTTTAAAAAAATATTTAACTCCAGGGGAGGGAAGAAGAGGGTAGAGAGAACAGGGATAAAAGCTATAATTATATGACTATATATATTTGGTTTGTAGATTTAACTTTGGAGAACTATGTAAATATATTAATTTTGATGTAAATTTTTAAAAATTCAAATATAATATATAATAAAAGTAAAATGAAACCAACTATGTTTACTAAGGCATAATCACACAGAGGAATTATTCAGTGTTTCTTTAAATCAGAGAAACTTGACTATTTATACCTAATGGAATATTCCATGAGAATAAAAAGAGCTGCAAATTATCTTAAAATTTTTCAGTTGGTGGTGGTAGTGCTGTTATTGTTATCCTAAGACTACACTGTATGTAAAGTGTGGGACAGAACAAGTAATTATATTGTCACTGAAAATGGAATTTTTAGTGTAAGAGAAAGGAAATACAGGTGGAAGACTGGTAAGCCTCCCCAATATTTAATTAGGAATGTCATATGCATCCATCTTTTTATCTTTGAAAAATTATTCCCTTATTTCCTAATTCTGTCCACTAAAAAATACCTAGAAACAATAATTAAAAAAAAAAAACCTGTGGCAACTGGCACTGCTAAGATCTAGACTGTGGTCTCTAAATACCATTTCCCACTAAAAGGATAAGGTCTTGAAGAAAAGAGTGATCCCATGTCTGGAGAATAAATATAAAGATGAACTTAGAATGCTGTCACACTAGACAGCAAGGAATCTATCAAAGATTATTAAGACTCATGCAAGAAGCTCTAAAACACACATACAACAACAAAAAAGTACCTAACTGGTTACCTCTGGAAAATGCTTTGGGAACTAATCGTTATAAATTTTAGTAAATAAAGGGAAATCATCAAATACATATACTGTTTTTCTTATATAAACTGTACCTCAGGGTAACCTAATAGTTGACATGGTAAAGTTTCTATTTATGTAACTATTCCAGCTTATATTCTAAAAAGGAATAACAGCATTAGAATATTAGTATTTTGTAAGCCTTGATGAATTAGTGGATTTAGACAATAATCATCAATGGCTACTAACATCTCAAAAAGACAAAGACATTATGGTTTTCCTTAGAAAAGCATTCAACATTACCTATGAAGTTCTTTGTCCTACCTCCTACAAAAACATATCTAATCACCAATTTTCAGGAAATACAGAGGACAGTGCAACATATTAAAAACCAAGAAACTGTAAACCACTTCTTTAAAACCAAGTTCAAGAGGGAGAGAGATTAAAAGAAACAGAAACATTAGGGGCATATTAGCCAATTATAATATATGGGCCTTATTTGAATCCCAATTCTAACAGAGAAACTAAAAAAAACAAACTGTAGGCCATATTGGGAATGTAAATATTAAATGGATATGTAATGATGCTAATGAAATACTATTTATTCATATAGATAAGAAAATATACATATATACTGAAATACTTACAGATGAAAATAATATCTGTGGTTTGCTAAAAATAAAGGGAAGTGGGGAGTAGAGGGTAGTATAGATGAAACAAGAGTGGCCATGAACTGATAATTGTTGAGGCTATGTGATGGGTACACAGGGGTTCACTGTTCTATTTTCTCTTTCATTTATATTTGAAATCTTTAATAAAAAAAACAAATTTTAGGGTGACTAAAGGAAAGATCCTGAAATAGGCAAATACAGGAAAAGAAAATCATTTGGCACATTTTATGTTAAGAAGTAGCAGAAAAATAGGTAATTGCGTGGCTAGGGTTCAATACAGATCTACTAAGCAGTAAGTAAATTTGGAGGGTAGGTTCAACAATAGGTACTATTACATCCCTGTCTTTCCCCAGAAAATTTTACCAATTCAAAAGAATATGATATTTCTAGCCTCTTAACCAATTTCAAAATAACTACTTTTTGTCTTGCTTTACAGTTATTTGTGTAGTCTTTCATTTCCTTAGTAGAGGATGAATCGTATTAGGCTTCATACTATTGTGCAATCCTTTAGCATTTATTTGTTGAATTTAAGAGTTGGAACAAAGACTGGTCTAACCACTGCACACCTCTTACTGAATGTCCACAATGCAGTCTTTTTTCTTTTAATCAAATGTTAAGATGGTTTCATTTGCTTTTACTTTTGCTTTACAGTCTTAACAACGTTTTCTTATATATTAAGTTTATCTTGCAGACCAACAATGCTATGTGTAAGTAGAAAAAAAAAGCAAAATTTTACCAAGATGAAGAGAGAGAAGAGATCAATAATTTGTCCAAAACACTTAACTAAGCAGCAAAGTTGACAGAACTAGGTTTCAGGAACTAAATCCAGGGTTTCTTCTGCTACACAAATGTGCCAGTGCTCTACACTGTCAGTAAGAGTCCAGGTAGAAGGAAACCACCACCACCTAAACTAAGAAGCTCAAATCTTACTCCAGATTTAGGAAGTCCAAAGGGATACACTGTTGTCCTAGTTATCTTGTATAGGACCTGCTATACCAAAACCAGAATAAAGTACTAAAATAAATTTGTAGTAGAAAAACTGTGTCTTTTAGTTCCTATTATCATCAATTTAACCACAAATTCAACCAGATTTTAAAAAGCCCAAATAAGATTATACTGGTATCATATTTTAAAATTCTTAGCACTGAATTAATTCTATAGGAATCCTGGGCTACTTGACAAAATCTAGTTTCCGAAGTTTTGCTTTGGCACCCATTTTATTGCTATAAAGTTTAAACCTGTAACTAAAATAAAAACTTCAATACTCAAATCTTAAAACATTTACTGTCTATGCCATTTTATTTTCTAGAGTAATTTTGGGGTAAAAAGCAAAAAATTATATTTAGACATCTAAAACTTTCCAACTTAACTCCTAGTTTATTTTCTCAATAACCTATTTCTAATCAGCTACCACAGCTTTAATCAGAATTATGCTGGATAAATTCCTAGCCATTCTGCCATGAGTTCTATCAGATAAACAAAATGACATTGTTATTAGGTAACAAAAATTAAGTAACACCTTGGTAGTCTGTTTGTATCTAAAATATCAAGTTTAAACTTTAGGTACAGACATAATGTATCTATAAATGGCAATGAAACACTAACTTTGATCATACTTGTAAATATATTTTATAATTTTACATGATAAACTTGCTCCTATTTCATTCATTCTGTGGCACAATAAGGGTATCAGAAATTAAATAAAAAGGTTCTATGGCTAGCAAAATTAAAATCCATACATGTCTGTGAAAAAAATTCATTTGTCAAATGACAAGTATCTCTAATACCTGAGTCATGAAAAGGTAAAGGTAAAGGCTTCACACTTTAAACTGTACAAGAATTTAATGAATCTCTAGCAATATCTACTTTGGAATATTTTTTCCCCTCAGTATTATATGTGGTGATATAGTAAAAACACATCCAACTCTTTCCTTGGCTCATAGTAAGTATTTTCTAAAACAGGAAATTGCTCCATTTTTACATACCTTGACATAGATCACAGGGAGCGTCTGTTTGGCTCGACTGTAGTGTCTGGCAACCCTGTATACTGTTTCTGGGACATAGTCCAGCACCAGATTAAGATAGACCTCATCTTTCTGAAAGAGTTTAGGGGGAAAAAAAAACAAGATAAGATACTGGTCTTTAAATATTCAAATTAAGAGTAAAACCTCTATATATATTCACTATTTCAGATTTTTAAACAAAAGATTCATGTGTTCAATTGTAATTATACAAAATTAATTCAGAATATAAAACCGTAATAGTAAAAAGAATTCTATCATACCTTTTTACTGATTATTTCATGGAAAAAATATAGTCATTTCAATACTGTTAAGATTCCTAGTCATACTTAAAACAATAATTTGGGTTATATGATTTTAAAGGCTATTACCTGTCACAAAATTTCTCATTTTCTAGTTGGAGAATGGATGCCCTCATATCCTACCAGGAAAAGTATCATGACAGAAGAAAGAGTATTGATTTGGGAGTAAGTAATGAGCACTTCTAGCTCTAGGTCTGCTGCTAACTGATGTAACACAAGTCACTTTGTAGAGCTAGGCTTCTGTTTCTTCAGCTATAATAGGAAGTGTTAGACTAGGTATTCTTCAAAATTTCTCTTAACTTCTACAAAGATTCTTTGGTTACCTCTAATAGTCTCTATAATTAGTGGAACAACCATTTGTCTTCTACAATTAAAGAAAAATAACCTGTAGTGGGTTAACATATTCACAAGTTCACTGCAGGTCATATGTTTAAACATCTGTTTTCAGCAGCATAAAGACAACAATCCAGAGAGACTCTCAAGATGGTGGCGTGAGTAGGGTGGCGGAAATCTCCTCCCAAAACCATACATATATTTTGAAAATACAGCAAATACAACTATTCCTAAGAGTGACCAGAAGTTACAATACACCAGCTAGGCTACATCTATATCTGTGAGAACTCAACATCTCACAGAAAAGGGTAAGATACAAAGCTGTGACTTGGCGGGACCCAAGCACTTCCCCCACCCCAGCATACCGGTGGGAGTAGAAGAATCAGAGTGGGGAGGGAGTGGAAGCATAGGATTCCTAAATAATCAGCCCTAGTAATCTGCACTGGGAGCACAGACACACATCGCATGGTGTACTGAGTATCAGAGGAGTGGAAAAGCAAAATCCAAGATTAAGACTGCAAACAGGTTCCTACAGATGGCTGCCCTGGGACAGAAGAAAAGCAGGAGCTTTAAAAGTCTTAAAGGGACAAGGGTTTAACAGGTGGGCAAAATTGTCCAGGCACACTCAGCCCAGCAGGCTGGGAACTTTAAGGAACTTCAGGAACCCTAATACCTTGGGTGGAAACACAGATCTGAGGTCCCTCACAGCAATAAGCAGCTTGCCGTTCCTTCCCCCACCACCCCCGCTGGCACTGCAAGAAAACCGTCTGACCCGCCACTGCTGCAGAACAGCTGGGAGGCAGCCTCGCCTACACCAGCCACACAGCTTAACACAGAGCCTCCTCCTTGGGCATGGCTAACCAGCCCAGACCCAGAGGCTGCTCCCTGGGCGCGGCTGACTGGCACAGAGAGTGGAGACCAGCGCAGAGTCCGGGAGGCACAAAGGGGCTTTGTTCTGGCAGCAGAACACACGCAGCTCACCTGTAACCCCTGCCAGTGCCCGAGTGATCCCAAGGGCCACCCCACCCATGGCACCTCAGGGGATTAACCCAGAGGCTGCCCCCTGCACGTGGTTGACCAGCACAGACAGAAGAGGCGGACGCAGAGTCCGGGAAGCACGAAGAGGCTTTGTTCTCACAGCACAACACACGCCACTCGCCTCCGACCCCCACCAATGCCGTCGGCGATCCCAAGGGCCACCTCGCCCACAGCAGCTAAGGGAATTAACTAGAGGCTGCTCCCAGCATGCGGTTGACCAGTAAAGACAGCGGAGAGGGGCGCAAAGTCCGGGAGGAACGAAGGGGCTCTGTTTTGGTAGCAGAACACACACCGCCAGCCTGAGACCCCTGCTAGTGCCCTAGCTCATCCAGAGGGCTGACCCACTGATGGCAGCTCAGGGGATTAACCCAGAGGCTGCTAACTGCACGTGGTTCAACAGCACAGACAGTGGAGACAGGCAAGGTGACCAGGACCAGCAAGCAGGAAGGGACTTTGTTCTCCCTGCTGACACATGCGGCACTTGTCGGAGACCATGCTCATAACCATGAAAAGGCAAAACCTTGTTCAGTCCAAAAATCCCTAAAACACCAGAGAGAGGGCTTGGTGAGCCTGAAGTCACCAATCTTCCTGAAAAAGAATTCAAAATAAAAGTCATAAGCATGCTGATGGAGCTACAGAGAAATATGCAACAGCTAAAGAATGAATTCTGGAGCGAGATAACAGAAATGAAACAAATAATGGAAGGATTTAAGAGTAGACTGGATGAGGTGGAAAAGACTGTTAATGGAACAGAAATCAGAGAACACAAATACAGAGAAGCTGAGGCAGAGAGAGATAAAAGGATTTCTAGGAATGAAAGAATATTAAGAAAACTGTGTGACGAATCCAAATGGAACAATATTTGCATTATAGGGGTACCAGAGAAAAAGAGAGAAAATGGGATAGAAAGTGTATTTGAAGAAATAATTGCTGAAAACTTCCCCAATCTGGGGAAGGAAATAGTTTCTCAGACCATGGAAGTCCACAGATCCCCCAACACAAGGGACCCAAGGAGAACAACACCAAGACATATAATAATTAAAATGGCAAAGATCAAAGACAAGGACAGAGTATGAAAAGCAGCCAGAGAGAGAAAAAAGATCACCTACAAAGGAAAACCCATCAGGCTATCATCAGACTTTTCAGCAGACACCTTACAGGCCAGAAGGGAATGGCATGATATATTCAGTGCAATGAAACAGAAAGGTCTTGAACCAAGAATACTGGATCCAGCAAGATTATCATTTAAATTTGAAGGAGGGATTAAACAATTCCCAGATAAGCAAAAGTTGAGGGAATTTACCTCCCACAAACCATGTCTACAGTGTATTGTAAAGGGAAATAGATGTCACCAGAGAAAATAAAATCACAGCAAAGAAAGTAGACCAACCAAATATTAATTAAACACAAAATAAAATCATCTATCCACAAAATCCGTCTAGGGAAACACAAAGACTACAGAATAAAACACGTAACATATAAAGAGTGGAGGAGGAAGAAAAAGAAAAGAGAAATAAAGAATCATCAGACTGTGTTTATAATAGCATAGTAAGTTAAGTTAGTCAGTTAGATAGTAGAGAAGCTACCCTTGAACATTTGGTAACCATGAACCCAAAGCCAGCAATGGCAATAAGTACATATCTATTGATAATCACCCTAAATGTAAATGGACTGAATACACCAATCAAAAGATACAGAGTAATAGAATGGATAAAAAAGCAAGACCCATCTATATGCTGCCTGTAAGAGATTCACTTCAAATCCAAAGATACACATAGACTAAAAGTGAAGGGATGGAAAAAGATATTTCATGCAAACAATAGGGTGTAAAAAGCAGGAGTTGCAGTATTTGTATCAGACAAAATAGACTTCAAAACAAAGAAAGTCACAAGAGACAAAGGACGTTACATAATGATAAAGGGGTCAGTCCAAAATGAGGATATAACCATTATAAATATCTATGCACCCAACATAGGAGCACCTACATATGTGAAACAAATACTAATAGAATTAAAAGAGGAAATAGAATGCAATGCATTCATTTTAGGAGACTTCAACACACCACTCACTCCAAAGGACAGATTACCCAGACAGAAATTAAGTAGACACAGAGGCACTGAACAACACATTAGAAAAGATGGATTAAAAAAACAGACACCTACAGATGTCTACACCCAAAAGCAGCAGAATACACATTCTTCTCAAGTACACATGGCACATTTTCCAGAATAGACCACATACAAGGCCACAAAAAGAGCCTCAGGTAAATTAAAAAAGATCGAAATTGTATCAACCAACTTCTCAGATCAGAAAGGTATAAAACTAGAAATAAATTGTACAAAGAAAACAAAAAGGCTCACAAACACATGGAGGCTTAACAACATGCTCATAATCAATGGATCAATGACCAAATTAAAACAGAGATCAAGCAATATATGGAGACAAATGAAAGCGACAGCACAACGCCCCACCTTCTGTGGGACAAAGCATAGGCAGCGCTAAGAGGAAAGTATATAGAAATCCAGGCCTATTTAAAGAAGGAAGAACAATCCCAAATGAATAGTCTAAATTCACAATTACTGAAACTGGAAAAAAGAACAAATGAGGCCCAAAGTCAGCAGTAGGAGGGACATAATAAAGATCAAAGAAGAAATAAATAAAATTGAGAATAATAAAACAATAGAAAAAATTAATGAAGCCAAGATCTGGTTCTTTGAGAAAATAAATGAATAGATAAACCCTTAGCCAGACTTATTAAGAGAAAAAAAGAATCAACACACATAAACAGAATCAGAATAGATGCTGAAAAAGCATTTGACAAAATTCAACATCAATTCATTGCAAAGACTCTCAATAAAATAGGTATAGAGGGCAAGTACCTCAACATAATAAACGCCTCATATGCAAACCCACAGCCAACATCATACTTAACAGTGAGAAGCTGAAAGCTTTTCCCCTAAGATCGGGAACAAGACAAGGATGCCCACTCTCCCTGCTTTTATTCAACATAGTACTGGAGGTCCTAGCCACGGCAATCAGACAACACAAAGAAATAAAAGGCATCCAGATTGGTAAGAAAGAAGCCAAACGGTCACTGTTTGCAGATGACATGATACTGTACATTAAAAACCCTAAAGAACCCACTCCAAAACTATTATAACTAATATCCGAATTCAGCAAAGTTGCAGGATACAAAGTTAATACACAGAAATCTGTTGCATTCCTATATACTAACAATGAACTAGCAGAGAGAGAAACCAGGAAAACAATTCCATTCACAGTTGCATCAAAAAGAATACCTAGGAATAAACCTAACCAAGTAAGTGAAAGACCTATACCCTGAAAACTACAAGACACTCTTAAGAGAAATTAAAGAGGACACTAATAAATGGAAATTCATTG